AGATAAAGTTCAAAAATATGTAACTAATTGCCCAACCTGTTTCTAAAACACCAATATTAAAGAAAAGTCAGACTTAACTTCTGTTATAGCAACTAGCCCTTTAGAACACCTACAAATTGATTTGGTTGACTTACTTGCATATGCAAAGTATAATAATGGATATTGTTATATTCTTATCGTAATAGATATATACTCATGTTATACATAGGCTAATAAGTTAGTAAAGATTTTTACAACCTTTGGTTTGCCTAATAAACTCTAGTCTAATAATAGATCTGAGTTTATAACAAGTGCTTTAAAACATATCTGTAAAGTGTTCAAAACACAGCTTGTTTATAGTCATACCTACCACCCCCAAAGCCAAGAAAAAATTGAGAAATTTAATTAAATACTTGGCCAGTACTTGACTAAGATATTATAGGATGAAGCATCTAGAATTCAAAACTATAGATGTGTTGATGTTCTTTCTTTATTTGTTATTGCTTATAATAAAGCACCATATGAAGCACATCAAAAATCACCTTATGAAGCATTCTTTGAATTTAAAATGTGTGAAGTTTATAATACACCTGGAAAAACAATAGCTATTCAAGATATTAACAACAACCAAGCTACCTATGTGGTCCATACAATACAAGTTAAATATGTCCATAAAGAAATTGAACAAAATGCAGCAAATTATACAAATAAAATGGTGATTCATGGAAGTGTTCATCGAAAAAAATTGGCTTTTGAATTAAAGATAAGGTTACAATTGCTTATGACTATGATAATAACTAAAAAATGCATAAATAAAAATTAGAGCAAACTAGCAATGCTACTGGAAAGGTAATTAATATGTGTAATAATAATAGAACAGTTTGGGTTGAAGTAGATGGTAAAATAAAAAATTTGCCTGCTAAAAATTTAAAAAAGCTTTGTTATTAAAAAAAAATTTAAATATTGTTATTAAAAATCTTATAATTAAGTGATTAAAGTAGTATACAAACTCAATAAGAATGTAATATATATGTTATGCATCAGATTAAAATTTGTGTCAGATCAAAATTTAAATATAGAGTTTTGTTAAGATTAGGGTGAGTGCCTATGTTAGGTATTAGCAGAATTATAAAAATTCTAATCTGATACAGATTCTAATTTAACACATATCATATATAATGCATATATAATAAAAATGCTTTTTTTTTAAATTCAAGCTATTATTCTAATTTTAAATCTCTTCTCAGATACAATTAGAATATTAGTAATATAATTTTAAAGTAATAAAAACATTTCTAATTGTATTCAGGAAAGATTTATAGATTAGAATAAGGTATTTCAGATAAGTTTTCAAATTATTAGTGCAATTAAAATGCCTATTTTTACATGTGATTTGCTAAAATTTAATATAAAAAATATTTTGTACTATAAAATTTATAGTATAGTATATATAAATATACTATACTATAAATTTTATAATATAAAATATATAAGTAAATTAGATTATTATAAAAGTAACAGTTACACAATATAAAATATATAATGTAAAAAAAAAGTCACCATTTTGTTTTGATCAGATTTCATTTTAATCTGTCACAATATATAAAAAAAAAATTAAATTAATTAGAGCCAGTAAAAAAGAATAAAACTTAATGTGAACAGAATGAAGAATGCTAGTAAAAACTAAACTGGATTATATATTTTAAATAATAATAATAGTAACAATAATTAGAATTAGTAAAAAAAGGTAAAGCTATTTAAGAAAAAGAAACTGAACATGTTAGTAAAGACCTAACCAAGATTATATATTAAAAAAAAAAAGAATAGTTAGAGCCAGTAAAGAAAAATAAAACTATTTAAAATGTAAAATCTGATCTTAACAGAATAAGAACACTAGCAAAAATAAAAAATTAGAGCTAATAAAGAAAGTAGTAATTATTTTTTTTTAAAGATAAAAAGTAATATAAACCTGAATAAAGAGTATTACGAAGAACAAACCAGTTATATAATTTTAAAAAAAATTGATTAGAGCTAGTAAGTGAAAAAACTAATAATAAAATAATACAAAATCTGACTAAACAGAATAAAGAACGAAGACCTAATCTAGTATTCAAAATAAGCTAGCTTATCATAGTTTGCTGCGGCTTGAATAGCTTATCACGTAATAAATTCAAATTTGTTATATGATATCCTCGAATTTATTACTTTTAATGTAACAAATTCGAGAATATTATATGACAAATTCGAATTTATTACATAATAAGCTATTTAAGCCACAGCAAGCTGTGATAAGCCAGCTTATTTTGAATACTAATCTAATCCAGTTTATATATAAAATAATTAGTTAGTACTAGCAAAAAAAGTAGAATTATTAAAAAAAACAAGTAATGCAAAACCTGACCTTAACAGAATAAAGAGCATCACAAAGATCTGATTCAGATTAAAAAAAAAAAAAAAGATAAAGCTATACCAATTTAATAACCTGGCCAGGTCAAATTATTAATGAATTCTTATGTATAGAACACATATTTTTTAAGAGAAAATCAATTCTCTATAAGAAAATTATAATGAAAAAAGAATTCAAAATATCTATAGAATTTTTTTTATTAATCTTAAGCCTCAGCCACCCTTATACACCTGGCCTTCGTTATTTTAGCATTTTTCTCTTTATTATTTTAGCATTTTTTCACTTCATTATTTAGCATTTTTTTCTCTTTTCTAATGCTTCTAACAACATCATTAGGAAATTTTTTAAATAGATAGAAATTGATGTATATCGCAATAAATGTTTTATATTGATTTAAATTAAATGTTACACATCGATTAACCTGTTTTAAATTGATATATATCAAAAATTGATTAATAATGAAAATAGGTAATAAATCGATGTAGATCAAATTATCGATTATTATCGAACAAGTCAAAATCGCAATATATCGATTATTACGTTATTAATCGATCAATAGCATATTTATTAATTGATAGAACTTTGATTTAGATATATGCTTTAAATGTTAAAACATAAACCTGTTCACAAAATATTCATTTGTTTTTTCAAATCTTGCAACTATATGTACAGTTCTATCTATACTTTTGATAGATATACAACTGTATTGTTTAATTAATTTTAATTTCAGACATTCCCACAATTCACCATTTACTTCATATTAACGAACAAGAACGAGTTTTAACAAATCTTTGCCTATCGCTTGGTAAAATTTGAGTATTAACAGAATCTTATAAATAATATTTTTTTTATTTGTATTAGTATATGTTACTCACGAAGTTAGAGAATAGTGAGAATATTTTCTAACTTCATCGCTTATAATCATTATTACTATTATTGCTATTTATTGTTAAAAATACATTAAAATCATATATAAATCAAATATAATAAAATCGATGCTTACCAAGCTGTACCAATTTACTTCATTTTCTTGATCATCAAGTGCACTTACTATAACATTAGAAAACATTAGATTTTCATGAAAATTTGACGAAGCACAAATTATATCAGTACTTTCTAAAGATGCAAAAGAAAATATTTTTATCTGATTATCTTCGTCAAGGGACGCAATTGATTCCACTTCAAAAAAATTATCAAGATCAGTTAGTAAGTTTTGAAACTCTTTAATTTGTAATGGGTCTATATTATTTTTGTTTTTCTCAAGAAAATTATCCAGCTCCTCACCCACAAAGATTTTTCAAACCTTTCGTTCAGCGATATTTTTTGTGAGCATCTGTTTCGGTTAGTTTTTTCTACTTAACCTAATAATAATCGATTATTAGCATTATTAGCATTGGGCATATGTCCAATGCCAACACTGATTTACTATATTTAAAACGTACTGCATTCAATATTTGTTCCATATAGTCTTTCTTATTTGATATTCGATAAAGTATTTTTAAATAGTCCTTATAAAGTGTTTCATAAGTTTCAGTAGTTATACTATTGATTGACCTATATTTTCTAATTGCAGAGACTATATGATAGCACCAAGAGTGAAGCTTTGGAAGCTGGAGACCACTTGAATTGTATTTTGAAAAAATTTTAACAAACTCTTTGGTCCAGTCCAAAATGAAGATCTGTAAAATTAATCGTTATTAATCATTAATAATCAAACCGGTTTAAAAAGCTAAGTATTTAGGATCTTTGCTATAAAACTCACCCTTCGGACTATGTAATTCATAGTCCTGAAGGGTGAGGTTGTTAGCAAAGATTCAATTTGTTTTGTACCTGTAATTGATTTAAAGAATCGTCAGTAAATGATTCTTCTCACGATGCAATATACATCTGAAGAAATTTGTAATATACGCAGCATAACCGTTTATTACTAATTCCTGGCATCCTATAATCTTTATATAGGTTGTCAAGTACGAAAATTGCTATTTTCATTAAATTTCTGAATTCATTTGTTGTCATACATATCATATCGAATATATTTTTCAATATTTTGAGGCCCTGATGTCTGAGAATTAGCGTTAATTGTTGTTTAAAGATTTGCATTACTTGTCTTTCACACTGATCATGTAGAAGGTCTTTAATATAGTCTAGTATATATTTAAAAAAACCAAGATCTAAGGTATGCATTCGATCAGGGATGATGGCCCGATATATATTAAAATTGCTTAAAAAAAAAAAGATAAACACATTTATTATATTACTTATTTAATAAATCTAATTAACTTTAATTTATACCTTATTTCTCAGAATGTATTTGGTTCAGGATAAATTGAATAATCATTTTCTTCGCCATCCTCTATTACTTGTTTCATACTATTCTGGGTTCTTGGTGATATATTAGTCAAGTCACTATTATTCAAGTCATCCTTGGATACTAAACACGAATATCAAGACCTTCTTGATGCAGATGGCTGATAAACATTAGCCAACATGCTGGCCTCAAGCAAGTCAGCTAATAATATAGAAATTCATAGGATAAATGTTATTATGTTGCCACGAATGACAAAATTAAGCTCTGAATTATTAATAATGGGCTTGATTAAAATCTTTAAGCATTCATAAAAGACTTTTCTTTTTAATTTTTGAAATTCTTTGGATTTTTTCGTTGTGGAATCTTTAGCCTTTAAGATAGATAAGTACCTAATTAAAGCTTTAGATTCTGGTTTGTTTCGCTAGGAGTTGGGAATATTACCTAGAGTTTGAACCTAGTTTTATTTTTCATATGTTAAAACTGATTAAAACTGATTTATAATATAAAAAATAAAACTGATTCCAAACTCTAATTGTTATCTAGAGATAAAAATATAGGGTGCTCGGAAGATTTCTCTATATGGTCTAGAGTAATTGTATCAGAATAAAGGATTATTGATAGTAATCGTTGACCAAGAAGTAATGATAATTCTTCTTGTTTCCACCAGAGGCAATTATATTGCTCTTCAAAGATGTGGCACTCCACATTATTTCTTATCTCCCTTTTATTTTCAAAGTTAAGTACTAATTGCTGATTTATACTATCGATCATTAATAAAGACTTTATTGTCTTTATTAATGATCGATAGTATAACGTATATTTAACACCTTGATATGTTATAATAGGAATTTCTTTGAACATCATATGAGGGATTGTTAAATTATCCAGAAATTCCTTTTCAATCTTTGCTGTTGAAGGGAGGGCAAAACATCCAAGTTTGAATGCTTATTGAAAAATTTTATAAAAGCATCACCAACCAAATTAGACAGTTGATGTCTACTAACTATTTTCATAAATTCACAATATGTATTGTTGGGCCAGTCAACTTTGTATGGATGATGCAGATCATTAAAAGCATCATCGAGT